AAGTCAACAAATTTCTCACTCCTTGATGGTGTACATCCTCACTGGTATTTAAGGGAGGGTATGACTCGAAATCCAGACTGACCTGCCATCCAGATTATCTGTCCATAAACTTGAGCACAAATCAAAACTTCAGCTCAACTTTGATGCCCTTCAGGATCAGAAAGAGATTTTATATACACTAAAGGCCTTTGCTTAGCCCCTTCTCTCATCCAGACTTTCTAAAGGGATTGGAGATGGATGAAAATAAACAATGTCACATAAATCTATGGGAAGAATAATCCAAATGAAATTAATTGTGAAACCAGGATGGATATTTTTCATCAATGGATGCAGCCATTGTAGGTAGAAACCATATGGATGCTGATTCACTTTTTGCTTCAAAATGGATGTATCATGTATCAAGCACTAGAAAGCAAATCAAACTGCTAAATCAAAGTCTCTTGACTATTTTGCATGGGCCAATCATCAAATTAAAAAATGGAGTCCTTTTACTTGCTGCTCTCCAAAAGCTGAAGAGCTCCAGCTAGAAAAGCTGAGTTGCAGGTTGATGGTTTCATGTTTGTGGAATGAAGTTGGAATGAGAACAACCAGATAAAGTTGAATGACAGCAAGGTGTGGGCTAGAGTGCACTACTTCGCAATTCAGTCAAAATATTATTTCTAATTATGTGTCTTTTATATTCCTGAAGCACCACAAGCTATGTCTATGTCTCTTTGCAGGAAGGTAAAATTCTTGCCCCACATCTTAGGTCACAGTTCAGCAAGATATTTAAGCATGTCACTAACTTTATTCAGATGGTCAAAAGCATCCACTTGTTTTCCATTTGCTGAACCAGAACCTGCAAATACACATGCAAAGATGTTGTTCCACTGAACTCAAATTCAAAGTAACTTGCATGAATTGTGTTGGCAGGGTTGGGACCACATAAGAAACAGTGTTTAACTCTTATGATATATTTTTCTCACAGTAAATTTCAAAATTCTTTGCAGACTAGGCTAGTTTAATTTCCATTCGATGGAAACAGAGAAAAGTACCTGTTTCTAAGCAGATTATTGGGAGACTTAGGATAATATCCCATGTTTTCTGAACAGTAGAACAATTAACTATTTGCAAAGTCATGCAACTTTCTTTTTATGCTTAATAAATTTTCAGTCTTATTGTCCTTTACTTTTGATGGTGGCTAGGTGAACTACTGTAGTAAAAACAGAAAGTGCAGGCAGAGAATGGCATGCAAGAAATATGAAAAGAATAAGGCTCAACTGTTACTTGAACATATATACCTAAGTTTTCTTGTGAGGCTTGATCCAAAGAATGACTCCCTACTAATCATGACATTACTGTAAAGTGAAGAAAAGTTATTAAGAAGAGACATTAATGATTACCCATGAAAAGCTCCATGAAAAAGAATGGGAGCCTTTCATTTGTAGTTAATGTAGTGTGCAGATCAGAGTGGCCTTTTTTCTTTCCTGTTTTGGGCAGATGTATTAGGATGAATAGCTTACAGCAAAATTGTATACCTTGCAAAGTAGGGTTTTATTTTCATTCTGTTTTCAGCATTGGCAATACAAAAATGCACCACATTTCATTAATTCTTTCATACTCATGTAATAGGAAGGACAGGCACTCATTATACCACTTTAAAAAAAATCAAATCAGCTTTCCAAAGTCACAGAAATATTATTTATCTTGTAGAGATAAGGAAACAGGGATAAATGACTTTTCTGCAATCTCATAATAATAGATCTAGGAATGAACATGCTCTCCTGATGTCAAGTTCTAAAGCTGGACAATGAGGATCAGGAGAAAGACCCTAAGAGAAAGTTCAAAATTCTTCACTAAAGTGCCTGTACATGCAAATTTAAACTCTGGTCAAAGTCAGTGGAACAGCTGCTAACAACAGCACTGAAAAATCAGGCCCCAATATTAATTCCTGAAACATAGACATAAAAAGTTGCTCAGAATAAAAATATGTCTGGCAAGCAAACACCCATCTAAATGTAGGTCAGGCTCCCAAATGTTTGCCGAATGATTGCAGAAATGCTGCATGCCTGCAGACATGAGCATTAGTATCTCTTCCTCATAAATCTCCCTTCTGGAGAGCTGAACAGATGAAAAAGCTTTGCAATACAGGGAGAAAAGCAGTTGCTGTCTGAGATTTCATGGGGCTGTGAGGTTTAGGCATTGACTAAAGGAAAAAAAACTAGCGGCACCTCTGGCATGAGGTCAGTAAACTCCTCATCAGTGAGCCACAGAGAGCACAGCCCAATTCCTCCTGGGCTGGGGGACTACACATAGGGAAGATGATCTTAAGAGCAGCATCACAGCTACCACTTCACTGTTTACAGGACAGAGTCGAGCTCCAGTCCATTGTCCTCTTCATCATATCTCATATCTTCACAGCTTTATTTTAAAGGGAGCTTCAGTAAAGCCTCAGATTGCTGACAAAATTTACTTGATTAACCACTATGAAAAGTCCTTCCCTGCAGTCTTGCCTTGGGATCCAACTTCTGAAATGGACTTTTCCACTCATTTGTGACCCCTTTGTTCCTCCCAAATGGTCTAAGAACAAGGTCCTGTAATCTGTCTGTGACTTCCTCATGCCAGCTCCTGCTTCTTTCCTGATCCAGGAGAAATCCTAGAAGGATCTATCATGGAGTTCAACTCTAGAATTGTGGAGTTCCTAAAAGAGCTTTCACTCTACTCACTAAAAACTCTGCCGCGTAAAGCACTTCCCATCCTCAAATTTTGATTTTGTCTGACAGCCAGGCCTCATTTTTAGTTTATAAAAAGCTTCTGTGAAGATTTTGGACCAATTCTTCTCTTTCCTTTGTCAACCATGGATCAGACAATGCAATTGATTACTGCAGCAGCATTACTACTTATTTACTTTCTCTTTAAGTACTTAACTGAAGCCAGAACCTGGAGACTGAGGACACTTATGGACTATTCTCCCCTCTAGGATCCCATTCCTTTATTGCTCATTTACTCCAATACAGCCAAAGCACAAACTTCAGTGGAGTACGAGTAATAATTTCTATACTAAATCACTGCAGAGGGAAGATTTTTTTTTTAATTATCTGGTTTGTAAATAAGAGTTTTATGAGAGATGGGATGTGGTACTGTCAAAACAACCAGATTTTATGGCTCAATCACATTTCTACTGAAGTCAGTGGATGTTCCCACAAGTACCATCATATGTCTGTTTACCTGGAGAGTTTCCAATCCTTTTCATTGAATACCTCATTCCATAAACACATTTCTGCTAGCAGGAAGGCTCCCATGCAGGTGTACTGATGATTTTGCTGAGGGTTATTATATATATAATAAAATAAAGCCAAGTTATATCAAGCAGAATGAGGGGCCTTGGGATTATAGTTTTAAAGATTTTGAGCTGTGAGTCATACTTTTCCATTTTTAATTCAGTGTGTTGACATAAAATGATTTCTACTGCCTGAAAGCTGCAGTAACTCAGAAATGCTGCAGGTGCAGGAGCTTCTCTAGTGGGGCTGTGATCAACAGTGAGCTGCAGCAGGCATTCTCTTACCTAATTTTAATCTGCTGCTGCATCTCCGCCAGAACATTTTGACTCAAGTTACGGAATTACATACTCAAAAGGATTTCAGCTCCTAAGCTGTTCCCTACCTATTAAAGACCAAAATTCAGCTGTTACCAAGACTGGAGATGGCTAAAATCTCCAAACACCTGCATTAATGCAACTGAGCTTGCTCATGACTGCTTAGCCTGGGGAGTGCCATGGTTGTGAAGTACTTAGGGTCCATGGGCGTTCACAAAATGGGTACCTCCCATCCAGTCATCTTTGAGGTGAGCTCATGATTTTGGTGGTAAGAGGAGAAAAACATCCTTTCCCAATAATTTGTCACTAGAGCACTTGCCTGAATTGTAAGAAAATTTGAGATAGGTTTTTCTTCTCTGCTAAATGAGGCTTGAACCCCAAAAGTGCCTAAGATAACAGCAAGTGTAATTGTATTTTTTGTCAACTTCCTTTATTGAAGTTGTCACGTGTTGCATGAAATGTTTAAAAAACAAGAAGCAAAACACAACTTTTCATTAGGCCAGGGACTGGAACTCCAGACCTGACCTCTGGCTCACAGTTTTCAAATGTAGCTATGATTCTTGTTCCTTTTCTCTCTGCTGTAAATGATGATGCAAACTGAAGTAGTTTCAGCTCTGTGGAACTATTTATCCTTTAATTGCTGTTGAATTTTATGGTGGGTGACCCATTGATATTGTTTTAACATTAAGTTTTGAGTTACAATTATTGTATGTGCATTTGACTCTTCTACTTATCTGAAGAGGGTTATAAATATACCATTTCCATTTGAGACTTTGCAGCTTGGCTGACAGTGGCTGCAGTCTTCAGTGACTGACCAGTGGATTGAGGATTCCTTAATTCTCTTTGCTTGTGAATACCCTGGTATGATGGGGAGCTTTCCTGTTTTATTCAGCACAGGTAGCACCAGGCCTTCAATCCTAATGTAGCTTTTACAGTACTGCCAGAGGGATTGACTATCCTGCTGTTCCATCTCAGACATCCATCTCTGTATTTATTTTCAACAAATCTTTGCACATGGTGAACTGTCACTGGCTCACACCGCAACATTGCTCTGTGCAAGACTGTGAAGCAACAACAGCAACCAGAGTCTTAAATTCCCCCCAGTACAGCCTGGATGCTAAACCCTGGCTCTGCAGAATGGATCAGGAGAAATCTAGACCATGATTAGTCATAACAAACAATAAAGCTGTTTACAGACAATCAACAAGCGACACTGCCTTTGTACAATTAGCATTTTAGCTGTGTTGTTAAACTAGGGAAAAAAGCAAGCAGTTAGGAAATGGACTTGTTAATAATTTTTAATGATTACCTGTGGTGTTAGTAGCATGATTTAGTTAACAGCTCATGAATCCACAAAGAACTATTTAGCTTGCATCCTCCAACAGCTGTATTAAAACATATATATACAATAATGACAGCTACATACCTGGCAGTACCATCCAATTGCTCTTTCCTTTTATAGAAGAGAGGACGCATTACAAGAAAGCAAGGAGAGGAGAATCACATCATAAATTTGGCATATTTTTAAAATATAAATTGCTAATCTACTGCTAATACCTTATACCTCTTTTGTTCTGTGACCATATCTGACAGAAAAAGCAGAAAAAAAGCTACATTTTCAACTATCTATAAAGCAAAAAAAGAAGTGACATAGATTCCTGAAACCAGTCTGTGCTGCTTAGATTGGCAACCCAGTCTTTGGTGAGAACTCATCTCCCCTTCCCTCTCTCCCAGGATCTTATTTGCAAAACACCTATTAAATTTCAGGTTTCATTTGAATCACAGAAGAACCTACACAAAATGAGCAAGCTTGAAGTCACAGTAATGAGTCCAGACTCCCTATGAATCTGAGAATTATTCTCTGAAAATCCCTGCAGTCAAGAAATCCTGAAGAAATTACTCTGTAATACAAAATGTGGGAATTGACAGAATGAAAAGAGATAAAGAAAGAAATATACTGAGCCTTAATTAAACACTTTTGGTGTTAGGGGTTTTTGTTTTGTTTTGGTTTCCTTTTTGAAGCATGTGAAATTGATTCTAAAAATGTGTTGTGACTAAAACAAAGAAAGGGTGAGTATTTGTAATCTGCCCTTTGTGAAAGCAGGAGTCTGAAACATTTCAAGTGAGTCTTCAGCGACAACTGGAGCTCCAGTATCAGTGCAGTGAGCACAACTACACATGGAGACCTCCAAGCTGAACAGTAGTTTAAGGGCACTTTTTTTCAGAATGAGGCACAACAGCAAGACCAGGAGGAATGTTTAAAGCACTAACTTGGATGTGTAATGCCCATTATTATCAGCTGATAATCTGTAGGTAAAAGTCTTGGCTTTTCATAGCGCCATATAGGTTCTTTTTAAAAAACATTTTAAAATGTTAAGACCTAAATGTGAGAAAGATGCCTGTTGGACAGGCAAGGAGAGTGAGAATCAATCTAATAGCCACAAACATATTAGCATCCATTTTATCTGAATGTATTTATGTATGAAATCCTTTCACTGAACTCAGAAGTGGTGACTGAAATTAAATCACTACCTCAGAAAAGATTTCTCTTTTTCAGAAGAATTTTCTGGAAAACATCTGTTGCCTATAAAAGCCTCATTGACATATAAAGTCTGTGTTCCCTGTCCTGGATGATACTTCACAGAAAATTATGATGGAGAGGTGGACAATTCACTTACCTGAAAAATGGAAATGATACAATTGATTCATAAAACCTCCAGGTAGCAACTAAATCAATCCTGTTGGGGTTAGTAGCATAGTATCTCCAGGCAGCCTAAATTACAAGGGAGAGGAAATAATTAGTGTTAGATGAAGTTATTTCCCAGCTGACTGCAGCCAGACTCTGCCAAAGAACATAACAATGCATCTGAGTCACTATCTGGAAATTAATTACTAATTACTAATCAGCCATACCAAATGCATGACACTATATGGAAAAGCTTTTTACACTGAATCTTGATCTTGGAGAGCTGTTATAGGAGACAGGAGAGAACCATTAACAGAACATGACATTACATTAGACTAAAATGGTTTTATTGTCCTGTCTGGTATGTCTAAAAGAGCTTCAAGCACTGCTGGACTTGTCCAGTAATTCTGGAAGTACTTAAGATACTTTGCCTCCTAATGTACCATCAGAAGAAATTTTGCTGAGCGACTTTCTACTTCAGCATTTAGTTCAAATTAAAATTCTCCCCCCCAAAAAAAAAAGTTACCCAACCTAAAATCCATAGCTAAATAAGCTACCTAATCAGTGGAGATGTTTTAATTTAAAATTAAGCTCCATCAAATTCCATTCACAACTCATGCCTGCAGCTCCCTCTGTTTGCTAAAGTGTGTTTTTAATGAGAACAGCCAAGCATTTTAATGCCATTCAGCCTATTTCTCCTGAGGACTTGTTTGATCTTGAGCACCAATGCTTCCATTTCTTATCATAGAAACTTTCTCTGTCCCTCTGTGAAAATGCTGTCATTTACTAACTGCTATCAGGATGTGCTCCATACCTAGTAAGAATAAAGAATTTCAAATTTGTCAGCACACAGACTAATGATTTTAAGCTTAATATCCTGAATTCATAACAAAGGCCATAACTGATGTCCAAGTGAGGTAAGGGCTCTCTTCCCATTGAATTTTTGGGTCATCCAGTGACATAACAGAGGATACAGGGTGTGGTTTAAACCACACATATACTATTTGCCTTGATTGAAATTGTCACTGTCTATTGTGTTTTCACACACTATTGTGTTTTCTACTTCTATTGCTGTTTTCACATCAATAACAACATAACTGTTTGCACAGAAAACCATTTTCTCAAGAGAACTGAAAAGAAAAAATCTGTATTTTGTAAAGAATGTGTTTTCAACAGCTTGTTTCCTGTGATTTTGTGGCAGTGATGCAGAAGCCAGTTGGTTTACAGAAGCTAACAGATGAGATCCTTTCTTCAAAAGACACTATTCTTCTGAAAGATATTCTGGGAGTTGAGAGAATCCTCAAAACTGCAAGGGCCTCTGGATTACCCAGCTCAGTGTGAAAAAATGACAAATAAAAATTTTCACCTCCTGCAATGGGAAGTAAGAATTTGGGTAGGGGAGGAGTGGTGGCCCTTGCTAACATGATGCAGCACTCTTTATGCACAATGCTTTTTCAAGGAAGAGGAAAGTGGCTGCAAACCTGAATGAGCTCAGCTGCTGGCTTTCTTCTTTTCTCAAAATGTTTTTGACGATGCTGCTCCTGGACCTTCAGTGCCAGCCCTGACCCCAAAATGCCCTGAAAGCATACAATGATGCAAGATTTTAGACATTTCTTACTCAGAACAAAAGGGATTAATGATGAGAGGGTGCAGGTCTGTGGGTGGAGATGGAGATGGCTACATGGAGTTTTTGTGCAGTTCCCATGTCTTTCCTGCCGCTCCACTCATGGGACAAGAGGTTGTCATGATCCTCTCAAGGACCACATGCCGCACCAAACCATTTAAAGGTCCTCAATGGCCTTATTGAATGTCTACTGCCTTTCCAATCTGGTGGTGTCCAGCTGATGTATTACTTTCCACTTCCACTGAAACTCTTGCATGATACAAGGGCTGTGCTAGACCATGCTTTGGATCTGAGAGTGCAGGACTTGTCATCCTCTGTGAAATTCTTTCCAGGTCTGGATCTAGAGGAAAAATATCCTAAAATCTGGGAGTGGGGCAGTTTCTGTTGCTATTCAGCCCAGCTCAGTCAGATTTTGTCTCATTCTTATCTGACAACATTGCAGACAACTGAAATAAAGGGCTGGGTAACATGGGTCAAATTCTAATTATTACAGTAGTGGGCCCCAAATCCTTTGAAAATATGTTTTGTGGGGGTTATGCTAGTACCAGTAAATTAACACTTGCCAGTGTACAGTCTCATGAACTGCCTTGTGGTTTCCCAGATTGTTCACTTGTTGGTCTAATTTTGTCCTGTGCCAACTAGCACTGACAATGTCCACATAGTGATTTGAGGAGTAGTGGGGTGATATATTATTCCAAAGAGGCTCTGTGCAAAGCTGGGCAGAAACAAGTTCCATTTACTGATACAGACCCACTCAAGAATCTGGAGTAGTTCTTTAAAAGGGATTTGGTTCCACTGGTGATTTTATGAACTTTACCTTTTTTTCCCAAGCGCACAGCACTGGGCTGTGTCTAACAGAGGAGGGGAAGGTACTTACTGCAGGAAGAGCAAAGAAAGACACTCCAATGAGAGAGAAGGTGGCTGCAATCAGCCGTCCCTCCCATGTTTTAGGGGTTTTGTCGCCATATCCGATCGTAGCAAGGGTGATCTGTGGGCACAAGAACCAGGGTTTCATGTAAGAAAAACAAAGCCAACAGCTCTGTGTAAATGTCACTATGAAAGCTGTGTAACTCACTTAGCCCTGAAGGTGCTCATGCACAGCTTGGTGAAGTAGGATCTTGAGGATGAGTCAACTAATTTTTTGGTGGCATCCCAAGGCACTGCATGGAGAATGGCTTTAGTCTCAAAGCAGCTGCCTCTTTTAGATGCATTTGCTGCAAGTGAGCTCCACATAAATCTCCGGCCCACCATCAGAACACAGTCAGGAACGGGATTTGCAACTTAACAGCTTGCAGACCCTTAACAACCTGTCAGATCTAGCTCTACCTGAAGTCCTGGTCTTTCTAAAACAAAGATGTCTTTGTGAAAACATTCTCCTTTCTGGCATAATTGTTAATTTCCAACCATGTATATCTTCTCACCACTGAGACTCCATCTAAATTTCCTGGATTTAAAAGGACATGGAAACATCCAGGTGTTCTAGGCAACACTTGGTATCTTTTGACTAATAATGGGGGAAGGGGAGTATTTTATATTTATGAGTGAACTACATTGAATAAAAAATATGCTGCTAAATTTAAGTCACAGCATGACATAGACTTCCTTAACTACCAGTAACAAAGCAACATGAATTCTGGAATGGCAGAAATATCTGTGACTGGATGAGTAGTGGTGCAAACCATTACTCCTCTCTTAATCAGAAAAGACAAGAACAGATGTATCAAAAGTCCTTCTTGTTCAGCATCCTACCACCAGTGGCATTCCCTCATCTGTGGGGAATGCATGCAATAATGCATGCATGAGAATTGTTATGTTAACCTTTCCAGAAATACTTTTTTAATTCCTCCATCTGAACCCAGAGACATCTTCAGTCACTGGCTCCATAAGAACCAAACCTGCCATGTGTGTCTTTCTCAACTGCCCAAACATTTGGTGCTCTTTGACAGCCCAACAGATCCATCCACTGGGCAGCTCTGGCTCTGCCATTTTCTGAGGAACACAGCTCTCACTGCAGGACACTGCTGGCACGAGAGGTCTGTCTCCCATAGTGTAGTTACACCTAAAGAGATGCTCCTCTAAAAGAGGTGTCCCAGACATCAGGAACACAGAGTGATTTCTGAAGGAAATTAAGAACCTAAGGGTTTTTTTCTGACAATCAACAGGGTTATAGGTTCTGTTAATTGGTTGCAGGGGTACTCCTACTTTGGTAACATTATGGTGTAATGTGCCTTTCACCCGCATATAGCAGGACTTGCAATGTAATCCCTAAAACTTTATCTCTTTTTGGATATGAAGTTTTTAAGAAGGGTATAAGGTATTTTTGGAGTCACTTACCAGCCCCCACCACAGTGCATCTGCATAGGTTTCAAACTCCTCTTTCATCTCCACCCCATTAGCATCTTTTTCAGGAACATCTTTTTCAACCAGATAAACAAGAAATGAGGATAAGATGAGCGTCAGGAACCCAATGTACCAAGCAGTGATGAGTTCCTACAAAAGAAACAGATAAAACACAGAGAGGCTGAAAAAAGCCTCAATATCCACAGTGGCATAGTAAACATCAGGAGAGAGAAGCACAGAGGGTAACAGCAGAGATGTCACTGCTGGTTTTGGTCACATCCATGACCAGCCCAGCTCAGCACTCAGTGGGAAATAATGCAGAGATTTACAAGAATTGGCCCCTACACCAAATGTTCCTTCCAGGAGCAGCCTGGAGGAATCTGCAGGTGTGGCTCTGCATTAAGCTGGGTTAAGGGCTTAGCTGCACCCATGGCACAGGGGGATGCAGGGCTCTGACCCTGACCTTGACTCTTTCCTTTCTTTCTTCCCCTGGGCCTGGTCAGTCTTGGCAAGCAAATCAACAGCTCTGCCCTCTCTCTACCTCCAGAGAGCCGAGGCTGCAGGATGCACTTCTTTCTCTTCAGCCATATCAAAGCTGATCCCATCATGAATGATGCTTTCAAAATGAATTCATGCAATAAGAACAGACCTTGAAAATATTCTATGTGCAAGCAAACCCCAAACTTTGCTGTTTTAGAGAGAATGACTAAAGTGGAGTGCCTCACAGAGGTGGGGCATGCAGCCACCCAAGTTAAAATCCCAGTATACCAGCAATATCTGAAACAAGGCAGAAACTTTTTTTTAAGGTCCTCAGAGGTAAAAAAATATAAAAAATCAATATTCCAATTAATTTTTATCATTTATATTAGTCATTCATCCAATTCAATTCACTGTTTGAGAAAAAAAAAAAAAGAAAAAAGTTGTAGCTGATAATTTGACAATTGAATCTTGAGATAAATGAAAAACTTTCCTAGCTAATTTCTGGTGTGCAGTCACAGAAGGAAACTGTTAGCAAACTTATTTCATCATTGTCTCCAATAAACCAAAGTTCTCACAACCCCCTTTAATCTCCCTCAGCCAGCTTAGGTCTAAAAGTGCATGGTGGGGAACCAAACAAGGAATAGTTGAATGAAATCCCATGGAATGAAGCCTTTAGTAATTTCTAAACACTGTTTTTGTTACATAGACTTCTTCCATGATCTGTTTCCTGAGACACATTTTTGACATAAGTGTTTATCTGCCACCTGTCTTGCAGCAAGTTTATATGAGCAAGAAGCAGAAGTTAGTAAGAAAGGAAGCTTGGTGGGCATCCCCATTAGTCCCTACACAGACGCAAAGTCTAAATATGCTATGCCAGCTGGCATTTTAACTTTCAGAACCCCCTAAAATGTCAGGAATGTCATTCATGGATAAGAAAATGCAGTATATTGTGGAGTATATGTAATTTTTCTACATCCTGTGCAGATGAGAAATCTCATCTAGAGGATTTTTAGGCAGATAGTTTTTAACTTGTAATAATGTTTTGTGAAAATGCAAGAACACAAATACCTGTCTGGTGTAAGACAGGGTGTGTCTGACTACAGCATCAAGTTAGACCAAGCAAAGATGATTGTAGAAATTTTTGCCTGTCTGGGTTCCTATTGTGTCCATCTCTGTATTGTCTGACCTAAGCTTCCAAAGAGAAATTTTACCAGTAGCTCCCTTGGAAACCACATTTCTCAGGCTAATCAGCCTCTTTCCATCCCTTCAGAGGTCTGCTCCATCTGTTGATCAGACAAGTCTAAGAAGCCGCTACAAACATGTTGCAACTTCCCAGGCTTTTTTGTCAAGGATTTCAGCACCCTTCACTATAAAAGGGATGTCCCTGCTTCCATTCACAGTAAAGGCAAAATTCTTGTTGTAATGCGTGGTCTCATTTCCCAGCACAACTACTGAGCACAGAAAAGTAAAACGAGAGGCAGAAATGGTTCAGAGAATGGAAAAGGGAATAAAGCTGAAAGAACAAAACTGTATTTTGAACTGCTAAACATAACCCAAGGCACTGCTGTACCTCTACACCCCCTCTCTTTCCTTTTAATCTTCCGCCCAAACCCCATCTGAGCCCTGCAAGCTCCTCACTTACTTTGCTGTGTGCACAAATAGCTGATCCTAAAAGTTTCCACGTGCCGCCCCGCCGGTCCATGCGGAGCATCCGGAGGATCTGAAGGAAGCGGAGGCTTCTGAGAGACGTTGCCAGAACATTGCCCTGGTTCCCAACAGCAACCACTGGCACTGAAGCAATCAGCACAAAGATATCTGCAAGGCAAAAAGAACACAGCCTGCCAACAAAAGTGGCCCCATCACCTGCTTCTTAATCCCATCTGGTTGTGCTGCAAATTTCCCTAGGCGAGTTTCAGAGCTGCCTGAAAATTTCTTCTCTTGCCAATTAATCAGATATCTGCAGATGCCACACATCATTATCAGGCACAGAACCTCCTGGAAAGCCTTGGCATCTATTTACAGATCAATGCACTGGACCTGAGACACTGATCTTGCTTAGGGATGCATGGAAACAGTGTCCTAATGCTGGCAGAAAATCAGCCTTAACTTCATCTGTACCACTGGAACACCACAGTGAACAGGTCAGCAGATGAGAAATTTAGGTTTGATGGTACACTTACCATTTTATTCTTTTGGTTGAGTTTTCCCACTAAAATCTTGAGTTAGTACTACTATTTTTTTGAAAGTGCTCACAGGACCAATTTGCTGATAACTGAAGAGGTTTGAAATGTGAATAAATTCTTTTTGTTTCCTTTCTTTTCCTTGTTTCCCCCTGCTTTTTGATCCTATATACACATACAAGAAGAAAGTGGAACCAAACATCTTCAAACGTTCTCTGGGCACTCAGTCTTTGAATTGTCTTTATAGTCTCTTTCCAGCCAAAAAAAAGTGAATTTCTGATTTATTCACTTCCAATCATTCTCAAAACAAACCAGTGACAAATGAGAAATGATTTTAATAAATCCAGGATATCTTCTGTTTTTTACCCAGATATCAATGATTCATACTTCAGGAGTGAGATGACACTGTTACTGAGAAGGAATGAGACAGAATCAATCCCACTTGCTCACCTCTGCTGCCTTCACAAACCTACTAGAAGTATCTCTACAACAGTAGCACCCAAAGGAGCATTACTAAATTGAGGATAGCACAGATGCACAAAGAAAATTTGTCACAATTTAGATCCATAAGATAAACAAAATGAGAGGCTTGTATTCATGCAGCACCATGCCTCCCACGGTGTTATGTGCTGTGCAAATATAGAAAAAAAACCCAGTGCTTGGCCTGAAGAGAATCAAAACAAGTGAGGGTGTCCCAAAATCAGTGAACAAATGGGGATGACCAGTGTTCAGGGCAGAGTGAGCTCCTGAATATTGGCTGGTCCGTTTGTGGATATAATGAGTAGCTGCAGGAGGGTATTCAAACATGAATAATGAGTAGTTGTGTGGATAATTATAGGCAGTGCCTTCCAAGCCTGAAAGACAACATGGGTGAAATCACAAAGATACTTGTTTGCAAATACAGACCAACAATACAAATGTAAAACAGAACACAAATATGAAAGGGAGTTGGGGAAGATGGTATAGAGTTGTGTTTGGAACTGAAGGCAGAGAGAGCTTCCTGAGGACGAGCTTAAGAAACATGCAGGGGGGCTCAGGACAAGGAAAATGTATCTGAGGAGTAGAAGGATTAATTTTTTTTTCTCACTAACTAGGTAGTCAAGTGTGTCTTAGTTATTGTTGGCTACTTCAAACAATTACTCCAAGCAGGATACAGGTTCTGACATAAAGGGCAGATCTGATTTCAGTGCTCTTTGCATTGCCAATCACCAGTTCTTTGATATCCCCCAAACTGGCTTCAAAGAAAAAGGGACATTAATGTGGAAAACAGTAATAGAGAGCATGTGCCTACCCAGCATGCACAAAGGCTTCCTGGCAAATTTGAGTCTCCCCCTCCATCCTTTGTAGCGACAGCAACAGCCAGCAGCCCAGATTCTTAAAGCAAACTCTGCTCCAAAGATGAAAATGGCAAAAGTTTCCTGTATCAAGACACAAATGACACTGTTAGTCTCAAAACAAATTTTGCAGTAATTCTGGACACAAGGATACAGCTGAAGGAAACAGATGAGGTGCAAGTGTTAGGATATGTGTAACAGAGAGGAAAAAAGTGAGGAGAATCAAGATTGATGACAGGGCAAGGCAAAGTGGGGACATGGTTTTCCAGCCTGCTAAGTATGTGCAGGAAGGACTTGCCCCTGCTGTTGGGTAAATGTGAAGTGCTTACCCTGCCTTAATGGAAGGACAATTACTTCACGACAATTACTCCTGCTCCACACAAAATGAGCAGACATATGTGAGGTGTGACTGCAGAGTCCCCAGGGCACTCAGTACCACCCCCAGGGTCAGTCACCAGCAGCTCATGCAGCCATATCTGTCCTGACAGAACAGGATACAGGATACTCATATGGTCACAAGTTTAAAGCAGTGATGAAGACATATGTATGACAAATTTAAGGCATATATTGTTCCCTTAAATTTCTGGTGGATGAAAGAACAGGATTTTCCACCTTGCTCCAGATCCTTTCTAAGCATGGGGAGGGAATGGGGAGCAAAGAGCTTCTCTGAGGGGCTCAGCAGGGTGAGATGCCAAGGGCAGCCTGGGGCACATGGTTACTTTTCCTCTCTGTGAATTGCTGGCAAGAGGGAAAAGGGGACTCTTCCTCATGCTCATTACCCACAGCTTCTAAAAGCTGCTGAGAGCCACATAACAACAAGCACAGGAGAAGGAAAGATAACCTCACACTTTTTCAAATGTGAAAGATGGGCCTAAGCAGGGTAACAGAGACCAAAAGCGAGTTTCCCATTCCCTGAGGGATGAAGGTGTTCTCATACAGGCACTTTTTGAGAAAGAACATGCAAGGGGAATTCACCTTTCATTCCTTATGGCATTTAGATCTTGCTCGAATCTATATGTCTCTGGAGGTACAAAGGGAAATGGAAATTGAGATCCAGGAACTAATTTTGGTGTGCAGTTTCCCTAGGGATACTTTAAACAAGGCCAGGTTAAGCGAGACATTGTGCCCTGTATTTTGTGATAGCTATGGGAGCAAAGGAAGTTCATTTTTAAGGTCATTTTCATAAAATGTTGAATTTGCAATTTTATATTTAGTGAGGGGTTTTTTCTATTTTTTAAATTCTTCTGCTAAATGGGAGGCCTTACTGAAATAAAGTCTTGAGCATGAACTTCAGCATTTATAGAACAAGCAATCTGGAATGAATTTGCTATGAATACATTTTCTCGCAAAGGCACTGCCTGCAGCAATTTCAGTTATGCTGCTATTGGACACAAGCATGAGTCCAAGTCTGATGACCTCCCTTGAAAGAAATACTAGGATTAGTAGAATACTATAGAATGAATCAAAACTGTTGAAAGATTACTCCAAAAAATAGCTTTCAATGTGCTTATGTCTGGCGTGGTCAATAGGAAATTTCCTGATAATCTGATGGAAGGACTGTTAGACAAATGTTGAAAAGGCAGTATTTAAAAGCCTCAGGAGAAGGTCTTTCATTTTTCCTTTATTTTCTTTTTGCTCAGGAACCTCACTTTTTATTCAGTTGGTGTTGACATTGGACTGGGAACTGTCCAATATGTAAGTGTACAATCACTGCTCCAGGACCAGGAGTAGAAGCATCACTGCATGCAGAGCTGGGAGCATTTCCATCCCTGCTGGTGGGGCTGATTTCAGTTCCAGGGTCTTACCAGGGCGATGCAGCAGCCACAGTTTACTTACCAGCAAGAGGAGCCAGTCTCCAGAAACAGTTTCATACTCCTTGAAAGTTGTTAGGACTGCTAAGATCAAACACCCCAAGACAATCAGAAACCTGAAATGAAATAAAAAGCACAGCATTTTTAATCCTCTCTGTATTTGCACTGGAGATATTGCCTATAAAATCATGAGTAGAGACCTCTGTGGGATGGCTGCTCCCTGTTGGTGAGAATGAGGTGGGTTCTTATGACGATCAGAAGTTTTCAACAAGGTTGGAGCAGGGGGCACTGGCAGTCATGGTAAGAGTCAGAACGTTCGTGGGACAGACATGCTTTAATCAACCCACATTCTTCAAGAATGAGATGGGTGATAGTGCATTTTGGGAAGGGGTTGTATAATATGCAGAGGACTGTGTTGCTCAGGAGGTCTATTCCAAGCTGTGTGCTGACCAGAACGGCACAGAATGGACACCATGCCATGGATCTCCCTGGACATCCTGAGGTCTGGGAAACAGTAAATGCTTCACTACAAGACAGCACTGGGACAAACCCTCCCTTGAAAACTGAATTTCTTTTTTTCTTCTTCTTTTTTCTGCACTTATTTCTATGCAGATGAAAAGACAAAAAGGTTTGAAAGAGTAACAAAAGAGGGTAAATTTCTGCTCTCCAGTAAACAAAGTGTGTGATAAATCATTGCCCCTGTGTTATTTTCTGTCTGTGAGGCTCCAGACCACAGAGATTTGACTAAAAATTTAACTCCCACTGCTGGCAAATCCAATTCAGTCTAATTGATCTGCTTTGCAAAATTATTCCCAGGTTCAAGCTATTCAAAATCTTTTATAGAAGTGATTACTGTTAAGCAAAGGGGCAAGCTCATATTCTGGTACTTCATGTACCAGATCATGGGCATTTTAATGTGTTTCCAAAACTTGATCCACAGGAACAGAGGAGCAGGTGGCCATGGAAATATTTTGAGTTTAATGAATAAATTAGAAAGATGTCTTTCTAAAAGCTCTGGATCTCCTACTTTCATAGCTAGGGTACATCAAAGAAATGATAGGCATTAGGTACTGAAATCATCCAGGGAAAAAAGCTTGTGAAGAATCAAGCTGTGTTTATGTGTACTACCTGCTTTGAATTTCAATCTTGTTCCTGTAGTGTGATTTCATCTCTTGCTGAGAAAAACTTCACTTTGTTTCACTGGGTGAAATGAGCAGAGACAGAGCCTGCAGAGGAGGTAGTGACAAGGGACTCAGCTCAACAACATGAAAACCTTGGGTTTTCATTTTCTTCATGTCTGAGAAAACCTAGGGCTAAAGAATGGTATTCTGAGAATGTGCAAATTATTTGCAGCTAGAGTGAAAGGACAGAGGTGAGCTCCAGATGGCTCCTGCTGGTTTTTTGGGGGAATTTCCTCCAAGCAGAATCCACTAGCACCCTACATGCAAAGAAAAGACAACAGTGAAACACTTCATAGCAAACACTGAAGGATTACTTTGCTGTGGCTTCTCTGAAATCCACTGTTCTTATGACAGGAAAATTTCAGATCAGCCATTTTGAGAGAGGTTAGAACAGAAGTAAATGTGTTTGCTCATGGTAAATAATTTTGGATTTCTTTGGCTAGTTTCACCTTTTCCCAGTCCCCAGACCTGCTCTAGAGCACGGTTTATGTAGCTGGTAGTAAACAGACCAAAATGTGTCTTTTGCCATCTACCTATAACCACACCACTGCTTCTGGAGACATTTGGCAGTTCATTTAGCAAGTTTGTGGTGCTCCTGCCATGCCCTTGAGCTTTGTCACACCGTATCTTGTTGTCCCCACCATGCAGTTTTAAAGCCAGTGGCTCCCTGGCTTCCCAAGACCCATGATCCAGCTGTCCGAACCTCCAAGAGTAAACTGGTGAAAACTAAGCAAAGACAACGTGATCTCTTTGATTAACTATAAGCTACCTATGCTCTGCCACACTTCAGTCTTTAGAGTGGTATCATCACCAGCACCCCATTTAAAGCCTTGAGCAGCTGCTGCTTGGTACTTTCCATTACAGCCACTTCTTTATACCATGTGAAAATTCAGCTCACAAGCAGCATTTTAATGATTTAATGAAAGGTGAAACACACTGAGAGCAGTCCAAGGAAATTACATCATTGCATTACACCATAGGTACTTAAACTAAAGGCATGAAATTACGATGTCATTTTAAAAAACACCGCTGTCAATTAAAGATGATGTACAGATTTTTGTACAAAAGGAAGACAGAAGATAAGTTAGTAGTGAAATTGTCATGGTTTTTTTTTGCCTAAAAATGCCTGCGTTTTTACCACTAGAGGGTACCGGTGCTCCACAGAGCGAGGGGTTGCAGCTCCCTCGTTTTGGAACAGGCTCAAAGCAGCTCAGAGATGCTCAGGTGGATCGCAGCCACGTATTTGAGGATACAAGGAAAGGGGTCTTACAGTGATGAAAGAGTTTGGTCAATAAAAATCCCAGATGTTGACACCAAGGGACAGCTGCTCAGTGCTGTTGGGGGTGCTGCTTGTTCGATCCCTCCGTGTGGCACCGAGCACACTGCAAGTCCCAGCTGCAAGTGAGAGCCCACCCATGAGAACCAGAGGTCATACAGGACAAAACACCCACTAAAAGTAGGGTGAGAGGGTCGTACTGAAGATCACAAGTCCTTGTGAGTAATCTTGAGGGTAAATCGTGGCCTGAAACCCTTATTGCAGGAAGTGCATGAAAGCTCCTCACAGACGCCATTGCTAAGGGGGAACTGCAGGCCCCAAACCCACGGAGCCCACAGAGCCTCGCCCGGGCTCCTTCCCGCAGGACTCCAGGGTATGAAGGGATGAAAAGCCCTTGTTAGTGTCCATAACCACAACCCATCTTGGAAGGGTGTGCTTTCCTCCTGCTGCACCAATATCTGAAGGGTAAACACCAACTGCAAACACCCACAAGTTAATCAACTCACATCTCAGCAGTCCTCCTCAGCCTCTGCAATAATTATCATTGCAGCGCAGAGCACGCCATCAATTTTAATCTACATTGATGCTATGCAGCCCAGCCTCTCTGGTCTGGATCTTGATGGTTTTGAAACCTGCAAGTCTTCCTGTGTCCTCTTTCTATGGAAGATGTCACTCAGATTCCACCCTTCTTACATCAGCCCTCCTTGCTCAGCAAAGATGATAAGAAGGTTCAAATTCCCCTTTGCTGCTACTGCCCCTATTTTGGGCACACCTATGCCCATATTGGCCATGTAAACATAAAGACAATTGGCAACAGGACAATGCCTGAGTCTGCACTGCCTAATTTCATTTTGTAGAGGAGCAGTGTGGGCTGAGTGGTTGAGTCTGGCTCTAAAATTGTAACAGGAAAATCACAGGGTAAGAGACTGCTGAAAGCACAGAGGATGTGCAGGAGGAAGACTGCCACAGACCAGGGGAATCAAGGGACAGAAGGGGAGAAAATCTGAAATTTACTCACAGTTATAACGATTCATTGGACATAGAGCACTAAGGGTTGGAAGAAAGAAATAGGGTGAAAATCAAGGTTTAAAATGAAAACTCAGTCCTATTAAGTCAAAGTTTCTTATTAAACTGTGTTTCAGCAGGTGGCAGTCCAGACTTCAAGAATGTATTTCATATATGCCAAATGAGGATCTGAATGTGTTCTTCAGCTTTTTAGAATCACCCTTGCCATTATTTTACATAATTTTCACAGCACATTACATGGTTCCTATTTGCCGCATTATGCCTTAAAAATCTCATTAGTTTGTTGTATGCATAATTTCCAGACCACCAAATGGCAGTGCTTGTTTGTTACTGTCACAAATAACAAATTATTCAGGTCAATATATTTTCTTAGTTTTAGAAATTACATATTTAATACTCATATTTACTAACTGCACTATTTTGTTGTGTTAAAAAGAGTATTCAAAAAAAATTCTTTCTCAGAAAAGAAGAAGTAATTTACAACTATGCATGATCATGAATCTAATGTGTTTTGTATGAATGTCACAGACTGTTTTGTTTGGTAAATTTGTAGTTATTTTGTTATTCCCCATTCTTTGAGTTTTTCTTCTATATCTGTTTTCATTTGAAGCCAAGAGAATGCAGATCTAGCTAAGAACCTTTATGTGTTTTATATATACATCTGCTCATCACTTTTCTGTTCACCATTCCTTCTTTCAAAATTTAGGAGCAGATCCTGTAGGAATTTACCTGTAATCTCCTCCAAAACAGCTTTCCTATGAAGTTGTTTTGAGCACTAGATCTGCCATAAGCAGGCCAAACTACATTTGTATTTGGTATCATTTTGACAAATTTTTGTGCTGTGGGACAAAATGTTAAACCTCAGTGAGGTTTAGTTATAGAGAGGAATGTGTCCTTCTATTGTACAGCTCAGGTTGATCTAAAGCAGGTTGATTTATAGCTCAAGCTGGTCAGGAGCACCTGGAAAGGATATTTCATTTTAACTGTAAGGACAGACTGGTGATGAGCTCCTATGGAGAGGTTTACTGTGTAAATCAGCTGAATGCCACCCCTTCTATTTACCCCTGGTTTGGATATAATTATAAACACCACCTCTTCATAATGTTTATGTATTTTTGCTACTGAATAGCCAGCCAGCCACAGCATTTCTGGTTTGTCTGAAATCCCTTGCTGTAAATTTAGGTATCACATTTACATGTGGTCAGGGATCCTGGTTACAAAATTATAATCCAGGCTTTGGGTAATAAAGCTTCTAGTCTCTAACTGAAAAGTTAATAGTAAGAAATCACCCCAGTCCAACAGTGCACAGATTTCTTTTTGCTCTCTCATCTTCAATACCAATTCTTGCAAGACATTGGGACTCTTCTGTCTCCAAATGTTCTTATGAATCTTAGATTTTTCGGCTTTGCTTCATTTGGTATTTTATTTTCTTCCCTTAAAGCTTATGCTCTGGTTTCATTATGCTCTGCCACCTGGTAAATGCTAATGGAATTCTCTAAGATTGTGATATGTAAGGAAAATCTGACAGTATTCTGCTAAATTTTTGGTTTAGGGTATCCAAAGCAATATGGTTCTAAACCATGATTCCCACACAGCTTCCCAAATTTCATATTGGAAAAACCTTATTTTCTTCAGCTATTGGCTTTTACCCATAAGGATTAAAAATTCATCTTTTCTCACATTTCTTTCAGTTGCTCTATATTCCTACCCACCATCTTTTTCTCTTCTTCAGAACTTCATTTTTCACAGAACATCTGCAGTATCTTGCACTGATCGCTTTATGGTTGCTAATGAGAAGCTTGAGTCAGGGTTTTTAACACTAAAAAAAATGACATTACCAAATATTTGAGAACAGCTCTTCAGAGAGAAGGGAATGCATGCCTGATTTCCACAGACTCTGGAATACTCACTGTTTAATATTTAGATTCTTGATTCTCTACACTTCCAAGCCATAGGCCAGAGATCAGTACTGAGATAAGGGTGACAGGAAAAATACAAACATTTTGTGAGTCTACAAAAGGGCCAGGGATGCCTGGAAAAGCACTGAAAAACTTAGTGGAGGTCCTGGAAGAAAGGAGAAAAAGCAACAATTCCTGCAGAAGGGATGTGCTAAGGTTCCTCTTTCCTTGCATTCACAGATTTTCCTGAGTGCACACCCACAGCTTCATGCAGAAATCCCTGTCCCAGTGCCATTGTACAGCAAGGACAGGGTAGAAATGCCATGCTCAGTAAGCTGTATTGCACTCTGCTGTGGTAGCAGAGGCAGAAAAAAGTCCTTCACATGATGCTGAGGGAAATCCTAGGAAGTAAGGAAAGATCCCTAAAAGAACCCTAGTCTAATTGGCATACAAGCTGACCTGGCAGGTGGTGAGGTGGTAGCTCAGAATGACACTTGTCCTTTGGTGACAGAAGTGACAGACATTGTCCCTGGCACAGCAGGAAGCTGAGGCAGAAAAGCCCAAACCCTTACTCATGCCAGCTTTTTGATGGCCTTGAGCTCTCTTTGGCAGGAATACCTCTGAATGGGGTTCACTGCTGTTTCCATGAGTCTGGAAAGCTTTTAAAATCAAGACTGGAGAGGAAAGATGTGCTTCACAGCAGGGCATTTAGGGTGCAAAAGAACAGCTTTTATATCAGATGGTTCCTCTTTCCTCTCCTCCTTGTACTACCTAAACCAGGTTAAAGCTCCCTTGTCTTACTTTTTTTCAGGCCCAGTCCTAAAAACTCTTTTCTTCTGACCCCTGTTGACCACCACTGCCATCTTTCCAGGGTCTGACATGCTGGTACATTTTGGGTCAGCAGTGTCAGATAGCACAGATACCATCAATCTGCATTTCTGTCAGAAGAATGGCCTGACACATTTCCCAGGTTTGCTGGTATGAGACTGCAAAACAGCCCAGAGCACTACATTTCCCTGCCTCTTTTTTCTCAGCTTAGAAGACAAGAGTCATATACCCAGATCCTATTTCCCTCCTGGGAAAAGTGCTAAAAGAGCTCCAAAGTTCCTGGCACATGTAAGTTACTGGGAGAGACCAAGGCATCTCCTCACATGGGTGACTGAGTGGGGGACAGATGGCAGAAGCAGAGGCAATGACAGCATTAGCTACCAAGGGGTTGGATGTCTCCTATCCCCTGCACTTGAATAAGGATGAAAAAACTTCTGACTTGCAACTAAATATCCTGAATTGCTTCATTAGTGGTTTTAAATTCTATTTTTATATCAAGTGGAGGACATCAGACTGAGCTATTGTTTGGAGCTTTTATCTGCCATGACCAGAATGCCTATCCATGGGCTTATCTCTGGCTGGCAGCAAGCTGCTAATTGAGTTGAGCCACACGGAGTATGAATATGGTGAGCCATCAGTGCAGCAGAGCAGGGAGAGCACAGAGCCAAACCACATCACCCAGCAGCCCCAGCTGCAAAAACCACAAATCAAATGAGTTCTGACAGGGCATTTTGGCTTCTCCAAAAGATTTTTAAAAATTGGTGTGGAGCCATTTGAAGGTAAACCTTAAGATTCCTACATTGGTTTCTGCTAAATTTTGCAAAATAAAAGTGCTGGACCTTTGAAAGCCAACCTGTAGTTGAGTAGTCAAGTGCCCAGACTACAGCAAACTCTGTAAAGAAGTGAATTTAGATGATAGAAGGAGCCTAAGGTAAGACTAGCAAACATCCATATCAACATCTTGACATCTTAAACATGGAGAAAAACATGCTTCAACATCTGGAGAAAAATTTCTAGGAAGATACCTTTTTAAATGTCACCCAAGACTTTTGTCCAGAGGGATCAAAAGATCTAGAAGTCTACTTCCAAACATGACAAAATCTCAGGGGTACACAAGATTTAGGATGTCTCACAGGGACATACACTGATCTCCCCCACAAATCCCTTTTTTGTTTCATTAGAAAGGAGAAGAATTAATTATACCCTCTGAATAAAGTTTTAGAAATCTCAAAAAATGCAAATGAAAGTAACTTCTGAACACACAGTTGTGACTTCTGCCTTGATTGAACACGTTGTGATATTTTCTACCTTCCCATTTGAAATCTATAAAGATCAAAAGACTGTAGCACACAGAGAAAGCAAACAGAAAAATGCATTCAAAAAGCCCACCCACCCTTTCTTCCACTTGACCAAACTGCCTTTTCTTGCAGGCACACATATAAAATATATTAGGCCCTCCAAAGCTGGCATAGCTGAAAGTGAATTTCTAATATGAAAGCAGCAGTGTCCAGAAAAAGCCTCTGTAGTCTCCAATACAGAGTCACTAGGTAGGACATTGATAACAATAATTTGGTGGTCAGACAGATTCTTAAAATGAACTGAAAAGAGAATCTTTGCTCTTTATGCAAGACTTCAACCCATTTGGGAGTGTTAATAGTTGGGTTTTTTCTATTTTTGACCATACATTGCAAACCCCATATTTTCAAAAATGCCAATGATTCCAATCCAATGTAGCACTTCAGCCAAGTGGGACTACCAATTAAAAAAAAAAAATTCAGCTGGGACTCTATCTTATTTGCCTGTGCCTTCTAAAACTCAATACACAGACATTCTTACATGGGAACGTGAGCACTTTCTGCAAGGATCTCAGCTCTCACTTGGAGTGGGACATTCAGAAGAAAAGCTGCATGGTGCCTTTCCCAATTGACTTTTAGCCTGTCAAAGATTTGCAGCTATGTAAGGAAGGGGTGCATGGCTGCACATGACCTACACCCCACAACAACTCTGCCAGTACACTCCAGGTCCAGGTAACAGCTCAGTGGGTTTTCCATTATGGGCAGTGAGGTGTCCTGATAATGCAGCTCCTGTGGAGCCAGACATATGGCTCACTTCTCTCAGATTAGGTAGGACCTCTGGATTTTCTGAGATTAACTCCACAGTGAGCTCTATCATTTTACACCTGAGGTGGTCACAGTTGTTCTTGTGATACAGGGTACTTGACTCAGCTAAACGCATGAAGTATTGCAGCTAGAATCGAAGAGAGATCTTTTCTCCATAGTGGTTAATCACCACCTGACCTGGAGAAAATCAGACAAAAGTCTCAGATCTTTACTTTGAACCATCCAGTTGTTGGGTTTTTTAAATCCAGGAAGACTTTCCAAATTTTTTTCTATAAGTGAAGAGTTCAGAGTCATTACTGCAACTTAGGTTATTTGACAACACTGCACATCAGCTTTTCTTAACAATCTGGTCTGTAGACTATGACCCATTCACAGATCCAGGGATGCTGCAAAACAAACTCACATCAATCAGTCAGGGAAGGATTTCTTACTGTGCAGAATGCAAAGAGGATGAGCTGCCCTCACTTTATCCACAGGGAAAGAAGAAGAGAAGAAAGGATCTGTGCTGAAAGATGTAAGGGCTAAACTTGATGTCACAGGAGCTGTGGATAAAAAGAGCAGTGGTGGTGTAGAGGAATGCTTTTTCTTGAAATACACAAATTGACACAGGCAAAATACTGTGTTAATAGACCAAATTTCACTGGAAATTAAACCATATTCTTAATCCAGTTTGATTTTATGCTGTGCCTATAAACCTTCTCTTGCACCAGACTCTTCACCTTTGCTTTGTGCTCCATAGCAGGTTGTAGTCTGGCATTTGTGATCAGTCAGACAACAAGGATTCACAGCTCCAGCTCATTTTCAGAATAATACCCCAGAAAGTGGCATTAGCTGGAAGCCAGGGGAAGGCATCTGAATGCAGAATATTCTTAAGTCTCTCCCTAGAACAGAACAGGAAAAGTCTCAGAAGCTCTAGATTATCTCAGATAAAATAGCCATTTTTAAGTAAATTAAGCATTTTTAAGCAAGTGTAGGAGCCTTATCTCAGTCTGATCCCAGGGGATGGGCTTCTATCCAGTAATGATGGACACCACGATGCAACTCCACTCTCATGCTGCTTCTCCATGGGGAAACAGATACTCCTCCCCTAGTTCTGTTGCATACTTCCAGCCTTGTATGAAGTCTCACAGTGCACTTGTGCACGTGATCCAAGCCCCAAATTTTTTGTGGTTTTGAAGGACATGGCTCCATTATACCAACCAAGAGTAGTGTCTGAGTCCTGGCCCTGAGCACAGAGTCACATGGATGAAAATCCCTTTGGGATGGGAACCTGAGCATGGTCTCCCAATCACACCTTCCCCACCCAGAGGGCAAGATGTTTGATGCCAGGCCCTTTCTCTTCATTTCTCAGAAATGAAACCACTCTCAGTAACTCAGCCTCACACCACTCAAACCACTGCCACAGGTATTCTGGCTTTTAATACCTGCCTTTCAAATATATTTGAGGGCTTCTCTTCTCTGATACTTCTATAAGAACACTGGGAAAAAAATTTAATATCTATTTGTTGGGAATACAAAAGAGGGGCAAAAAGTGGCTTTTGACCCTAAAATGTTAGCTTCTGCCTTGATGGTTTAACACATAACAAGATATGTAATCTGGATAGAAATGTGAGGGGGATGATCAGTTGTTTAAAGGCAAATCCCTTTATAATAATGTTTTTTTCAACATCTTGCCTTTAAACTGATGAGAATATGTCAATAACTTTAAAGCGTTTCAGCAAAAGTGCTTAGAGACACTGTGTTATGTGGAATTTCTGTAAGATCTGCATCTACTTAGAAAAGAGCATTGAAGGGTCTGCAGCTGCAGACCCATGGTGCTGATGAAGTGTGGAGGACAATACAGCAACACCTGAAGTGTGGCGTGCAGATGAGTTATTTGTGCTCCTTTCCCATCTCCAGTTCACATTCATTAGCAAATGATGAGTTGTGTTAGCATGGCAAATGAATCACAGCCTCACTGGAGGTGAACTTTGGATAAGCTCTTTGGAGGTCATTGTACTGTCAGGACTCTGACTGACGCAATGGAATGGTATCATTAGCACACAGGATTTGTACCTATGTAAATCTGATGATGTTTTAAAGTATTTCTGCTGGTTTGCATTACCATAAACAATTAATCAACATTCAAAATTCAGAATGATCATCTGTAAGCATGTAACATTTCATTTGATGCCTGAAGTTGAAGTCTTTGGAGGAGGTTATCAGTCTTTTCCAGACCTGTCCAATTTTGTTCCTGAAATGTTTCACCAGCATTTGCAACAATGCTTCTCAACACAATGTATGATAGCCCTTTTGCTCAACTGACTTGTTAATGTCTCAGATTGTATTGTCCCTGTTTAACCTGACAAATTCAAACAATGACAATTCTATCAAACCCTCAGGGAAAAATGGCAGTATGGAAGGAGATATTTTTGGTTTTATTTGAAGAAAGAAATCTATTGAGTTGAATAAGTAAATTGAAACGGCAGACACTTCAGCGTATGTAAAGTACATTTAGAAAAATAGAAAAAAATGCAGTAGTGAGAAGTCCTGCATACAGAATACAATCTAGAAAACAGTTAAGCCTGTGCTAAGAAACTCTGTTAGGACTACCATATCCCCAAAACCCATGAATCCTTGTGTGTCTCCTAGATGGAACAGCTGGTTTTATAGAAGGAAAGTTGCCTGTAACAGAGGAATACTGGGCACAGTGAGACACAGTCTTGATATAACTTTCCTATTCTTACTTGACATCCATGGGAACAGGAATTCTTATTCTTAATTCAAGGTTTGCCACATTCTTCTGCTGTGGTATCAGTGCAGAGAGTGACTAGAATTTCAGCATAATAATGAATCAATAAGGGTGGAGAGCTAAATCCATTTTCAGGTATAGCATAACTCATCTGACCAGCCAGCCAGCTGGTAAAGCTCACTCAGTGAGCTGAACAACCCTCTGAGCTTCACAGACAGTACCAGGTACATTAGTGGGACAGCAGACACTTAAATCATCTGTACACACACAGATATTTGGGTGCCAGAATTGAATATCCAAATCATGCCTTGAATCTCATCTCTTGCAGGTGAACAGAAGCAGAAAGTCTGGAGCAGCAAGTAACAATACTGGTGTTCTGCTCCCAGCTTGCAGTGCCTCTGCCAGTATGAATGCTGGGGTGATGGGGAAGGTTTGCATCAGACATGTAGAGCTTTTCCCTTTATCTGTAAATTAAGACTGTTGCAGAGGGACAAATTTCAGGCCTAGGTTTCTATAGACCTCCCAGACAACCATGATTGTTGACACAGGTATCTAAAAGGTGTGAAAAGTCAGGTTTTTCTCCCTTTATGTCCCACCGGGACATGTCCAGGGATAGGGAGCTACACTTTGCCATGTGGCTACAGAGAACATTAGTGGTGAGCACAAGGCTGTAACTCTTTCCTGGGTGAAACAAACGATCCCTCCAGTACCTCAATTCTGTGATTAAACAGGGATTTTAGCCATGGCTATCTACAGCACTGGCTACACATTTGTTTTTGCTATAAAGTAGTTTGAAGTTGTTGTCAACACTGATTAATTATTTATCTCATAGGCTCTAATTGTTTCAGGGGTGTTTTCTGAGTAGTCTTGATCAAGATGCTTATGACTGATTGTACATTGATTGTTCTATTGCTTACCAGCAGCAGTAATCCCAAAACATTTCAGGATTCTGGTCTATATTCAAAGCAGTCCATATTATTTTTAAACAGGAAATTAAGGAGCCAGTCCCAGGCAGCTCATTTGGGGAGCCAAAACTAATAATGAGTTGCACTTAGATATACCTTCCCATACCATTTTTACACTCAAGTATAGATGACTTCTATTGTTTTTCCACAACAAGACAAGGCAACTATGAAAGTAAGAATTTCCAAAGAAAGAAAGCTTAGGTTCTCCTGTGAAGGAGAGCTATAGCTAGGGAAAAAAAAAAAAAAAAAAAAAAAAAAAAAAAAAAAAAAAAAAAAAAACACAAAAAAAAAAAAAAAAAAAAAAAAAAACCCAAAAAAAAAAAAAAAAAAAAAAAAAAAAAAAAACCAAACAAAAACCCCAAGTATTGAAAGGCCAGTAGAATTATAAGACCTGATAACTACAAGTTTTCAAGTCATTTGAATTCTGGGAATGCTGTAGTAAGTCTAATGATAAAGCTGATTGCTTCACATTAAATTACTGACACTATTTTGGTCACTGTGACATTTTAAAAAAAGCACATGGTTGTACTCAGCTTACTTGTAAAGTTATTAGATGTATCTCAAGGTGCTCACTTTAGGTGTACACCAGACAGATGTAATGTGGCTGTGGATGCTGTTTATCTAACACTAGTGATTCAATATGCCCACAACAGAAAGCACGTAATTAAGGTCTGCACACACCATTGCTGGAGTTATGGGGCAGGCTAAGAAATATTTCACCCTTCAGAGTCTTTGAGGGAACCTGTGCTCCTTCTTTCAGCATGGATCATTATGTTCTTTCCTTCACAGGACAGAAGAACACAAAAGTGTGGGAAACATTTCAAACACAAATATTGTTTTGCCAGGAATTTTGAGTCATTGTCTTTATGCAAGAAATGTCACACTGTGCACAAACACAAGAGCAGCATTTCCCTTGAGCCTGCACTGTAGAAATTAATAATGTAGTTGTTATTTTCTGCATTGTGTTGCATCTTTCCACCTTGCTCTACTGCTTAAACTCACTCAGTTTTATTCTTTCTGTAATTATTTAACATGTGGAAGTTCTTTATGTTGGAGGATGCAGTCATATAGAAATGTTTTCTCACCTCCTGGAATTAGTTCTGGTTTTTCTGTTGTATTTATTTATTCATTTCTTTTAATCTGTTTATTTATTTCCAGAACAGGTTTTTTATTAGTGCCCTAATTTACAGAGCAGGGAATAAATGGCACATGTCTGTCTCTTCATCCTTTATTACAGCATTAACCTTTCCATTATCTGCTCAAAAGCAGGGTTTAAATTGCAGCCATTAGATCCAGCAATGACTTCATCGGCTAATTGAGCAGCAATCCCAATCAGTCAGTTGATGGCCCACAGATCCAAACTTCATGAGTTAGATGATAAAAGGAGAAACAGAAAAAACAGCTAAAACCAGATTGAAT